TTTTTGAGATGGAGTTTTGCTCTTGTTGCTCAGGCTGAAGTGCAATGGCGTGATCTTGGCTCACTACAACCTCTGCCTCCCGGGTTCAAGAGATTCTCCTGCCGCAGGCTCCCGAGCAGCTGGGATTACTGGCATGTGCCACCATGCCTGGCTAAATTTTTTGTATTTTTAGTAGAGATGGGGTTTCACCATGTTGGCCAGGCTGGTCTCGAACTCCCAACCTCAGGTGATTTTTTTTTTTGAGACAGAGTCTCACTTTGTCACCCAGGCTGGGGTGCAGTGGTGCAATCTTGGCTCACTGCAGCCTTCACCCCCTGGGTTCCAGCAATTCTCCTGTCTCAGCCTCCCAAGTAGCTGGGATTACAGGTACATGCCACCACACCTGGCTAATTTTTGTGTTTTTAGTAGAAATGGGGTTTCACCATATTGGCCAGGCTGGTCTTGAACTCCTGACCTCAGGTGATCTGCCCGCCTTGGCCTCCCAAAGTGCTGGGATTACAGGCGTGGGTCACTGCGCCTGGCCTAACCCTTGTCCACTCTTAACCTCCTACCTTTTTTAGCCTCCGGTGTCTGATACTCCACTCTGTACTCCCGTGTGTGCTCACTGTTTAGCTCCTGGAAATGCGGTCTTTAGTTGGCTAGTTGACTATATCATGAAACTCAGATGGGCCATTTACTAAAAAGAAGAAGGACAGAACAGATGATGGGGGGCAACGAGCAGCCTTTACCCCGTCACCCTTAGAGGGTTACGATTCTTTCAGGAATAGATGGACTTGCTCATCTGTTGTGCTCAGGCTCAAACATTAAAATGCACAGCTCCCCCGTGAGTGCATAGATGGGCAGCTCAGAGACGTAAGCCAGGAGCAGAGAAGAGGAGAAAGACAGCTCAAGACAAACAGCCTCCTGCAAGAAATCTAACAAGTGGAAACTCCACAAATGCACCCCTGTACAATAGGCTGTCTCTTACCTGTACTGCAGTACAGGTAATGGGAGTGAGTTACCTTCTTCTGGAAAGATAACCTTCTTTGGCCTTGGGTAAGGGCTACTCATGCCAAGGAGATTTTCTGGGGTAGGCAGCAAATCAAACAGCCCAAGGAGTAGTATAGTGAAAGCCATGGCCATAACAGCAAAAAGCGAGTGACTGAAGGATAATTTGAAGGATAGATGGAGAAATAACAATTCTTGTTATAACCAAGGTGCAGTCCGGCAGCGCTTCCTGGAAGAGGCAGGGTGAATATTGATCTGTACTCTCTAAAATGGATTTCTCTGCCTGCTGGCTAGGTAGGCGGCAGTGTGCTGGGGAATGTGTTCCAGTTTAAGCTGTTGCTGGAACAGAGTGAGAACGGGGCCTGCCTTCACAAGAGGACAGGCTTTTTCCAACCCCTGGATGGCTTCCCCAGCTGCGTGGTGACCAGTGGCGTGGTCAACTTCTTCCTGGCCCACACGGAGCGACTCCAAAGAGTTGGCTTTGATCCCCGCCTGCAACGAGTGGCTCACTCAGGTAGGAAGGCTGAGAGTGAAGGGAGCTGGGCTGAGAGTTAGCTGCAGAAATTTGCTCTTTCCAAGGGCTGGACCTGGCTGGCTGCCCAGCAGTGCGTCCCTTTCTCCCTTTCTCCCCAGACTAGGGAGCTCTTGATCCCTCTTGCCTCCCTCCTCACGCCTCTTTGACTTCTGTGTCTCTTGTAGGCTGCCCTTCTTCTTCTTCCCCTTCCTTTCCCTACAGCTCTGCCTTCTTCCCCTTTCCATCGCTGCTTCATATCCTATTTTTCCAGAAATCCTTTCCTATTAACTGCTCTCTCTTTCCCTCTTACCCCGTCAGCCTTGGAGTCCACAGTTCTGTCCAGTTTGAAAGCCAATCTGTGCCTCTCTGCCTCTGTGCCCATATTTCTGCCTGAGAAATAAGCTTATTTATTTCATTCTAACTCCGCAGCAGGGACAGGCTCCTAGAGTTAAGGGTGGGGCTTCACGTGGGGCGGAACCTCCCCAGTGTATGAACTGTGTCCCCTTCCTGGGACTTTTCCCTCAGACCTAGAACAGTACCCACTTCTCTGGCCACAGTTCCCACTTCCTTCTGCTCTCCTTCTCTTTGCAGAATTCTTCATTGATGGGCTAGGGACCCTACTCGTGGGGTCATGCCCAGAAGTGACTATAGGTCACCAGTCTCGGTCTCCAGTGGCGGACTCAGAGCTGGCTGCCCTGGAAAAGACCTACAACACATACCGGGCCAACAGCCTTGCCCAGATCCAGTTCAAGCTGGCTCTCCATTACTTCAAGAACCACCTCCAGTGTGCCACGTAAAGGTGTGGGAGCATAGGAGAAGCACTAGGCGGGCTGGTTATGGTATCTATAGCAGTGGAACCAGTGGTTGGGGCCACCAAAAACTGGACTCCTGATAGATGAACATTGTAGCGACCCAGCTGGTGGGTAGGGCAAAGGGATATGGCTCAGTTACTGGAAGTACCAATCAAAGGTGAAGGGTCGTTAGAAATGAACCAGTCACTGACCAGGGCAGTGGAAACTGTATTATTAGCAATGATGATTTTGTACAGTGCCCTGCCTTTTATGAAGCATTTGCATGTACAGTATGTCACATCATCTTATCTGAACTTACACAAAAGACTACATTGGTTGGTGTCCTCATTCAAAAGAACAGCTGCCTGGTCCTTGATAGTTGTTTGGTGGAGATTCCGCCACAGTCAGAAGCATCGGCTCCAGTATCACTGTCATCCCTACATTTTCACTGGGTTCTACCTTGTGGACTCAAAAAATGTGAACAACCCAGGGTCCTTGCCTTGAGGAGGTTTGCAGCCTGGTTCAGTTAGGTCCAATCACAGAATTAGGCAGCCGAGGTCAGAGGATGAGAGAAGCGAAGGGGTCACCAGGTCCCAGGCAAGAGAGGAAGGGTCGGTGGAGTGAGTTTGTTGGGACCCAGGCATCCAGGCATCTGAGAGGGGAGAAAGGCCCTGGGGCTGTCCCACTGTCTACCAGAACAAAGGCGGGCGGCCCTGGCGTCAGACTCGCTCCAGGCCCATTCCAAAATGCCAGGGATTTAACTCGGAGTCCATGCCAAAGTGTGATGGCGAACAGACAGCATGAGTGCGGTGACAAGCCGCCAAGCTCCAGGGACTGGAGGCCAGTTGCTGATCACTCAGCACTCATGTCACTTACAGAGTGCTTCCATCCTCTTGTTGGATAAGCCTTCCTGCTGCCTGGAGGTTGGCAGATTCCGTGACCCCTCCAGCCCTGCCTTCACAGTTTCTGTTTACCTGGAGGCTTTTTCCTCCTGGACGTGGCCTAGGGTAGTTTGGGATCGCTAAAAATGTGTTCTCTGAGATATCAATAAAAATTCCTGAAAAACAGATTTACAGCAAAATCGATTTTGGTGCTCAAATAATTTTGAGAAATTCCGCATGCTGCGTCTCTTTCTTGGCAGGCCGCAGTTCACATTAGTGTAGTAAAGCCTCTGAGAAATCCTGAGGTAAGCGAATCTCTTAATTCAGCATTTCTGAGGTATGGGTAGAGACTCACAGACATTTTTTATTCTCCCAAAACAGAACTGAGCACATGCCTGGTTCACTGTATGTCATAAAGATTATATTGTGACAGCTTTAATGGCTTTAACTAACACGCAGAATCCTCTTGTGCAATAGTTCATGCATTTCTGTGTACGCTAACGTCACTACAGTCCGGGCACAGTGGCTCACGCCTGTCCTCCCAGCACTTTGAGAGGCCGAGGCAGGAAGATTGCCTAAGTCCCAGGAGTTTGAGGCTAGCCTGGGCAACATAGTGAGACCCCATCTCTAAAAAAAAAAAAAAAAAAAAGACAAACAGCCTTTGATTGGAAGGAAAAATAAGCTACACAAGCATGGCTATCTAGGGAAACAGCATTGTGTTGTCCCATTCCAACACAGTCCCATTTGACTGCCCTTAGATCCAAGCAAGAAAAGCCCCTACCTGGACCTTGTGCTCTAGCGTCCCCTGCATTTCACAGACACGCACATTTACTGTACTGATGAAGCCCAGGGCATCTCGGTCACTTAGGATCCTGTGCTAGTACTGCATGACTGGTAACCCTAAACATCCACCCTTGGGACTAATGCTATTCAGGCCCCAGGGGAAATGTTTCTCCACATCTCTTGCCTTGTGATGTCAGAAGGCGATTGCACCTAAATGCAATGAAAGTTTGTGGGCAGTGCTTTGGAGTACTGGTAGGATTTCAGCTACAACGTGCTTAGGTAAAAGGAAAAGACAAAATTTTAAATTTGCCTAATTCTGCCGGGCGCAGTGGCTCATGCCTCTAATCCCAGCACTTTGGGAGGCTGAGGTGGGTGGACTCCTCGAAGTCAGGAGTTCGAGCCCAGCCTGGCCAACATGGTGTAACCCTGTCTCTACTAAAAATACAAAAATTAGTCAGCTGTGGTGGCATGCACTTGTAATCTCAGCCACTTGGGAGGCTGAGACAGGAGAATCACTTGAACCCAGGAGGCAGGGGTTGCAGTGAGCTGTGATCCTGCCACCGTTTTCCAGTAGCCTGGCAACAGAGTGAGACCCTGTCTCAAAAACAGAAAGAAAGACAAGAAAGTGTCAGCCAGGCACAGTGGGTCATGTCTATAATCCCAGCACTTTGGGAGGCAGAGGTAGAGGTGGGATGATTGCTTTAGCCCAGGAATTCAAGAGCAGCCTGGGCAACCTAGTGAGATCCTGTCTCTATATTTAAAACTTTTTTTAAAAAAAAAAAAAAAAAAAAAAAAAGTAAAGTCTTGCTATGAAAAAAAAAAAATAGCTCAACTAAAACTGTGATTAGGGATTCTGGCACAAGCCCCTTATCCCATTGTAGGCTGATGATAAACAGCTCCCAGGCCAGGCCTCAGAGCACACTTTAAGTAGCATTGCTTTAGATTAGGGAGCAGCAAACATTTTTGTAAAGAACAGGTAGTAAATATTTTAGGTCACATAAGGTCTCTGTCACATATTCTTTTAAAAAGATAACTCTAAAATTGTAAAAGCCATACTGAGAGCTTATGGTTTCCTTCAAAAACAAGCACAAGCTGCATTTGGCTCTTGGCTGTAGTTTGCTGCTTTACTTAGAACTGCTCTTGGAGTACAAATTATATGAAAAATCTTGATTATAAAAGCATAATTAGTGATTTTGCTGACATAAAAGCCAGAAAATTAAATTATGTGGCATAAATATATGATAATTTACAAATTATACACATGTGTGTGTGTCTTTGTTCTTTGTTTTGAGACAGAGTCTCACTCTATTACCCAGGCTGGAGTGCAGTGTTGTGATCTTGGCTCACTGCAGCCTCCGCCTCCCAAGTTCAAGCGATTTTCATGCCTCAGCCTCTCCAGTAGCTGGGATTACAGGCACTCGCTACCATGCCCAGCTAATTTTTGCATTTTTTGCCCACCTTAGCCTCCCAAAGTGCTGGAATTACAGACGTGAGCCACCGCTCCCAGTCGAGTGGTGATTTTTTTGAACAATCAAAAGTAGGCAACATATCAAGCAATGGAATTTAATTATTATTATACATACCTTGGAGTTCAGTTGATGGATTATTGATGTTTGGATAAGTAAGAGCAAAGGACTTGGTGCGATGGCTCATGCCTGTCATCCCAGCACTTTGGGAGGTTGAGGGGGGTGGATCACCTGAGGTCAGGAGTTGGAGACCAGCCTGGACAACATGGTGAAATCCTATTTCTACTAAAAATACAAAAAATTAGCTGAGCATGGTGGCGCATGCCTGTAACCCCAGCTACTCAGGAGGCTGAGGCACGAGAATCGCTTGAACATGGGAGACAGAGGTTGCAATGAGGTGAGATTGTGCCACTGCACTGCAGCCTGGGCAACAGAGAAAAATTTCATCTCAAAAAAAAAGAAAAAAGAAAAAGAAACCCCCACAACTTTACAGTTCTTTTTAATTTTGCCACTATAATGACATCTTTGTTAAGCTAAAGAGGATAGAACATTAAACAGTTTGCTAGCGTTATTTTTTATAGCTTTAAATATTTAGACATAAGGATGTTGGTTTTCATGAGTACTCTTTTTTTTCTTTTGAGGCAGAGTCTTGCTCTGTTGCCCAGGCTGGAGTGCAGTGGCTTGATCGAAGCTCACGCAACCTCTGCCTCCCAGGTTCAAGCGATTCTTGTGCATCAGCCACCCGAGTAGCTGGGACTACAGGCACGCATCACCACGCCCAGATAATTTTTGTATTTTTTGTAGAGATGGGGTTTCACTATGTTGTTGGCAGGCTGGTAAACACCTGGGCTCAAGCAATCCTTCCACCTCAGCCTCCCAAAATGCTGGGATTACAGGCTTAGGCGCCTGGCTTGCTTAACCTAATTTGAGTTGGTTCCTGTTACAAAAATGTCCTAAATTATACAGCCATGCTGTACAACTGCCTGTTTCCAAAACAAAAAGGCATACATAAATAAAAGGTTTTCTGCTTTGGGCTGTTTGGAAGCAAAAATCAGGTCACAGACAGTACCAGCCACATAGGCTTTCCTCCAACCTTGAGTTTCAGACACAGCCAAAGAGCCTGGACCAAACCAATGACAAAGCTATTCTTCCAGGACAGTGAGTGGTCCCCTGATGCTTTCTGCTAAATTCCAAATTTCAGAAAAGCGGGGTACTGATAGCCAAATAATTGCATGAGCCTCCAGGGGGCGCTCAAGCCTGACCTCTCTGTTTCCTCTGCTTCTTCCCCACCCGCTTACCCAGGAAAGGAAAGCTGCTGCGGTGCTTTTGGAGAGGACAGATCTTATTGGCTCCTGGGCTACTGGCCTTTTTCTTGCCTGTATAGGCGCGTCCATTTCCTGCTGCTGAAGTGGAAATTGGGTCTGAGGTCAGCTGTTTTCAGCATACTCTCTTCTCCACCCTTGGAAGGTTTTTGATTTTTTTTTTTTTTTTTTTTCAGTNTGAGAATGGAAAATGGTAGTCAGGAAGTTTTATTCACCTGTGCATTTCCTTTTATACAATTTTATTTTTATTTATTTTTATTATATTTGAGACAGAGTCTTGCTCTGTCGCCCAGGCTAGAGTGCTGTGGCGTGATCTTGGCTCACTGCAACCTCCGCCTCCCGGGTTCCAGCGATTCTCCTGCCTCAGCCTCCCGAGTAGCTGGGACTACAGGCGCAGGCCACCACGTCCAGCTAATTTTTGTATTTCTAGTAGAGATGGGGTTTCACCATGTTGGCCAGGATGGTCTCGATTTCTTAACCTCGTGATCTGCCTGCCTCAGCCTCCCAAAATGTTGGGATTACAGGCATGCGCCACCGTGGTTGGCAAAAAATCTCATAATGTTTTAAGAAAGTTTACAAATTTGTGTTGGCCGCATTCAAAACCGTTCTGGGCCACATATTGGACCAGCTTGCTTTAGGAACAGCCCCCCTGTCCTTTACCTTCCAGATCCACATCTAGTGGGCAGTGGGCAGGTTGACCTTTCTGAAACCTACGCACAGCTTTAATTGCTCACTTCCTGTTAGTGGTGTTCACAGGCGTGGGCATGACTGTAGGAGTAAAACTCATTAGCTGTTAACAGTAGGGGTTTTAAGGAAACTGAATTGCCAATGAAATCTGATTGGCAGTTCCTTAGAACTTACAGGTTTCCTGTCACTTCCAGTCACTTCCAGACATCTTGTCTAGAC